ACTTACTTACTTACTTACTTACTTACTTACTTACTTACTTACTTACTTACTTACTTACTTACTTACTTACTTACTCTCTCTTCTCTCTCTCTCTCTCTCTCTCTCTCTCTCTCTCTCTCTCTCTCTCTCTCTCTCTCTCTCTTTCTCTCTCATAATGAAACAATTATATATCACAGAACTCAGCCGCAATCAGTTGATACAATTGGCCCTTTTGGTCGGCAGTGATTATACCACAGGGGTGGCTGGTGTTGGACCAGTTACCGCGCTAGAAATATTAGCCGCGTTTCCTACTGATGGAGATAACTTATTACAAGGCTTACATAATTTTTGTTCGTGGGTAAAGAAAGGAATGATCGCCACTCCTGGAAAAACGAACTTGCGCAATAAACTACGAAGCATGAAATTGGATAGAGGTAAGCGATATCTCATCTAGATACAATAAAGATTAAGTGACATGGAATAAGTGATAACGAATAGAGTGGTCGATTTCACAGATTTTCCAAATCAAGCAATCGTCCAAGCATATCTTTTTCCTATGGTCGACGAATCAAAAGAAACTTTTACTTGGGGTAAACCCAATATTGTGCTTCTTTGCGATTATACCAGACAGAAATTTGGATGGACAAAAGGCAAATTCGATGATATGATGATACCGGTATTGAGAAGAATGGAAGAAAATGGAAGTCAGAAATTATTGGAATTGTATTTCAAAGCGAAGATGTCTCCGCGCTCGATTGAACCAATTTTAAGTAAGAGAGTACAAAAGGCTCTACGCAGATTAAATAACGACGATGTGGACATAGATGCTAACATAGATGGCCCTAAACCTCAATCCAAGAAATGTAAAAATGATGATACTGTCCAAAAATTGAGTGAAAGAAAGAATTTAGTCCAACTTGAAACATCGACTCGAGAAAGTAAACCACCTGTAGAAATAAATACTATTTTCGAAAATTTTGTTAAATATACTGTTCAAGGCAAACATACCAAAAAATATATATCGCAACGGGAAAAAGACAAAGAATGCGCATTAAAAAGGAAGTTGCATGCTATAGAAGTATTTAGAAAATCGAAACAAGGTTTAGGCAAAACAAGAAAAATAAAATATAAGATACGAAAAATCAAGAAACAAGCAGAACTATCGGAAAGTGATAGCAACTAAATCTGATAAGAAACGAAAAAGCAAAAGACTCATTTCTATTATAGAATGTATTTTAAAATATGTCGCTTGTTATTACATCATGTATATATTCCTTTATCATATTGTAAATATAAAACATTTTTATACAAGCCCTATAGTAGGCGATGTGGCTAGACAAACTTTTAATCTATTCTTATATTTCTGTACTGTAGGGGTATGTCATTTGTGTATCATTTGGATCAATGTTATATCATATGTCAATAGTATGTCAATTTTGCTCTAGGAATATTTAGAATTCCTTGAATCCTATATTTTATCAACAACCAACAGAACTTGTTACATAGATTTAAATAATTATTAATCTACGACAACATATAGCAATATAACATTTTGTAGTCTATCTTCAAGGATGATTATAAATTGATTGGGATTGCTTGCTGAAATTTTTTACAGTTATGTTGAATTTATTATAATTTTAATTCCGAACAAAATTAGTTGAAGCAAAGTTCGTATCTTAAGGCTCGTCTACGACAAGGCGTAAGACACATAAGTGTCGGTCCACAATAAGTATTTAATCTTTAAGACATAAGAAATTGACCAATCATAATCGATTATTCTTTTCATATTCGATTATAATTGGTCAATTTCTTACGTCTTAAAGCTTAAATCACTTATTGTAGACCGACACTTACGCGTAGCGAAAAACGCAAATCGCTTCTGATTAGTTACGCGGCAAATACGCCTCATGGCCTCACTCCACTATAAGAACCGAGATTTGAGATTAGAAATGAGAGAGATTTGAGAAACGATTATAAATTCGGGTCTATGTCCCATGCGACGGAAAACACGGAAACGTAATTTGTACGAACCAATAATATACACTGATTCCGATAGCATAATAGAAAGAGAAAAATATTGCGATTGACAGGCGACAATTGCGCTTCCGCGACTTCCACTCTATGGGACATAAGAAATACATTTCAGCAGAACGCAATGGACAGAACGTTTATTGGATCACAAGCGTTTCGCCAATTCCGCATTGTGCACATTCCGAATCCATGGGACGTCACTATAGACATAGTATAGATAGACCGAGCATGCTATATATTAGGCAATGGGCGACATGTGCGAGTGAGAAGAAACAACACCTGATTTTTTTCTCTCTCTCTCTCTAATA